GAAGCCCTCCTGGGCTGCTGAACTACACTGGCACCTGACCCGGGATAGTCTTCAAATGCAGGTACTCATGAGCTGGGGACGGGACACACTGGCCACCCTGAGGAGTCCTCCAACACCATGGGCACCACACTGCCTGGCTGGGTGGCGGTCCTTCCCAACGCGCGCCCCCCCCCCACAGCTGCCACCTCCTCGGGAGCAGAAGGCTCTCCCTGTATCTAGACTCCAACCCTGGGCCAGAGCCCCCCCCAGATCCTGACAGTGGGGGTGCACTGAGTCACAAGGGCCGCCCCAGAAAGTGGGTGAGAAATGCCTGAGGGATGGGCCTCCCACCGCCAGGGGACAGCCCCTCAGCCAGTGCACACTCTGTCCGTCTCTATGGGAACCAGTGCACGCTCCGTCCGTCTCTCTGGGAGCCAGTGCACGCTCCGTCCGTCTCTCTGGGAGCCAGTGCACGCTCCGTCCGTCTCTCTGGGAGCCAGTGCACGCTCCGTCCGTCTCTATGGGAGCCAGTGCACGCTCCGTCTGTCTCTATGGGAACCAGGGTCAGAGATAAGAGGACTGCCCCTGCCCGGGAGTCAGCCTGGTTTTCTGACTGATGGGCTCAGAGACTGGGCCCAAGGGCTTCTAAGGCCCAATGGCAGACATCTTCCAGAAACTGAATGAGCGGGACCTGCATCTTTGAGGTTTTGACATTCAGTATGCTGGAAAGTACGTCCTCTGAGCAAATGGAACCTTACAAGGAAGGTTAACCGTGAGAGAAGCAAACCTTGAGAAACATTTAACTACACTTGACTTGAAAAGTATTAGGGGCTCCATGACACAAGGTCTGAAAGTTCCCTGGGGACCTCAGTCCTTCTCAGTGAGGCCCATCCCCTGCCCCAAGGGAGCATCTCTCCCCTAGCTCTCTATCCCGGCCCCTCACCTATACCTGCCCCCACCAGTCCCCGTGCCAGGCGGTCTGGCCATCGGATGAAGCTCACACCTCCCAGCCCAGCCATGAGCTCCCTGCTCCCACCTCCGTATGGCTTCTGCCAGCAAAGCCCAGCTCCCAGTAGGGATCGGTGGCAGAGGGGCCCCCGAGCAGGAGCAGGGCCCAGGAGAAGCCTGTACTCCTTCGTCAGGGATCAAGACAGAACCTCCTACAGAGGTGACACAAGGGCCCCCTCAAACCCCCATCGCCCCGCCCCCCGCATGGGCCGTGTCCCGCGAGCAGCTCTGCGTGCGGTCCCTGCGCAGCAAGGAAGACAGTACAACGTCCTCCATGTCCTCCTCCAACTATGCCCCAGGTTCTCTACACCATCCCTGGGCTTGTGGAGCCCACCCGGCAGGGGGGCAACCACCTGCCGACCCCAGGGTCACAGAACGTGCCACTACAGCTGGGGGAGCTTTCTGTGTGGCCCTCCGAACAGCAGGAGAAACGGGCCAGTGGGAGCAGGGGCCCAGAAGGAGAGCTCACGGGGGCAGGCAGTGGGCAGAAGCACCGGGCGCGGCCCAGGGAGGGTGCCAGACTTGCTCCCCCCATACTGGCCTGCCTAAAATGGTCACAGAGACAGAAGGGGACACAGCAGGCAGAGCGTCTCCCAGGGACAGGAAGGTAGGAGGCCAGGGCCAAGTACGAAGTGCAAGGTTAAGAGCCGTGAGGAAGGCGGTGTGGCTGGACCAGGTTCTCGTGCACTGAAGAGGTGGGAAACCACGAGCAGCAGACCGAGAACTAGCCTAACGTTTATCTGAGAGACATACAAAGTCCAAAAAGCCCAAAGGAAGAATCACCCATAACGCTGTGCATTCATTTCTATGGTTGCGGTAACAAAGCACCACAAACCTAATGGCTTAAAACATTGTAACTTTATTATCTAAACCTTTTGGAGGCCAGAAGTCTGTCCTGGATTGCACGTGGGCTGAGTTCTTTCTGGAGCTTCCCTCCCTTTTCCTGCTTCCAGAGGGGCCGCATCCCTGGCCCGCAGCCCCTCCTCCAACCTCACGGCCCTCAGCACAGGGTCTGCCCATCTCTCAGACTCCGACCCTCTGCCTCGCTCTCGTAACGACCCTTGTGTTGACATTGGGGCCCCAGATGATCCAGTGACATCTCCCATCTCAGGGGCCTTCACAAAATCCCAGATGCCAAGACCCTTTTACCAGGCAAGGGAATGTAGTCATAGGCTCCCGGGAGTGGGGTGCAGGCACCCTCGGGGAGCACTGTTCAGTCTGCAGCAAGTGCCATGTGAAAAATCCATCATGCAAAGAAAGAAGGAACAGTCATCACATCCCTCCAACCTGGAGACTGCTGCTGCGTGGCACATCTCGAGGAGACGAGCCCATCTGCCCACGCTCAGACATTAGCACTTTCTAGAAAACTGAAAATGGGACGGGGCTATAAACGGGGGTCCGCAACCCCTGCTCTCCCCGCAGTCTAAACAGACGTGGACGGTGCCCCGGGCCACGGAATGGGAAGAACCGCCCTCCTCAGGCCGCAGTGTTAGATCCGCAGGGGGCAGCCAGATGTGGGGGTCGTGTCAACAGAAGCTGTATCTGGACATGAGACTCCCACAGACAACCTCGCCCTGCAACTTCACGTCGGCGCTGGCGGGCCTGGGCACGGCGGGGGCTGTCCGGGGCCCTCGCCCACGGCTGGGGGAACGGGACATGAGACGGCTGCTGTGGAAGCAGGGTGGCAGTAACTCAGAAGGTGAAGCATAGAGGGACCCCATAACCCAGCAGTTCCACGCAAGGCATTCCCCCCAAGAAAATCAAAACATACGTCCACACAGAAACTTGTATGCGAATGTTCACGGCAGCATCGTTCGTAATACCCCAAAAGTGGAAAGAACCTAAGAGTCCACTGACGGATGAACGGCTACACACAGTGCGTCCCTCCACGCGCTGCCCCAGGGACAGACCCCGAGCCCACGAATCTCAGGGAGGGAACCAGACACAGAAGGCCACACGGGGTGTGAGTCCAGCGTGTGACACGTCCAGAACAGGCTCATCCACGGACGGGAAGGGGGCCCGCGGGGGCCAGGGAGTGACTACTTAATGTATGTTACATTACAAGATGGGTTTCTTCTCGGGGTGATAAAATACTCTGGAATTAGGTGGCGGTGATGGTTGCATATCTGTGCAAACATACTAAAAATCACTAATTGTACACTTTAAAGGGTGACTATTACGGCATATGAATTCCGTCTGCATAAAAATGAATTTTTTTACAAAGTCCGCAGCAGCCTACTGGAGACCTGCCAGGCCACAGTGAACCGGTCTGATTTGTCTCAAGGACTCTGATCTCCTTGAACGCCCCAGGCCTTCTGGAGAAGGACCCAGTAGTTTCATTCACATCTCCGCGCTCTGCCAAAGAACCTTCCCACACCTTCCAGCTGTGGTGCTCAGTTTCTTTAACTGTAAAATGGACCCATCAAGGGAGAGGACAGGTCAGGATGACTGCAGCGAGGGACCGCTAAAGGTTAATCAAGCCACATGGGGACAAGCTACACACACACAACATGTCACACTGATCTGGGTACAAAGAGAACAGCCAAGTTTTAGTGATCTGGTTGCCTGACAACAAAGCACAAGCTTTAAGGGTAAAGGCAATCAATGTCTTAAGAGACACATTCAGAACAGACCATTTCCGAACCATCCAGCCCCAGCAAGCAACAAACGAACCTAGGTCAAGGGCGGTGCACCTTTTCTGTGCAGGACCACACAGTAAATACTCTCGCCTTGGCAGGTCACATAGCCTCTGTCACAACTGCTCATTAGATTCTACCACTGTGAGGAGGAAGCTGACAGAGATGACATGTCAATTTTATTAGCTGTGTGCTAATAAAATTTTACTTACAAAAACAGGCAGTGGGCCAGATTGGTCTGCAGACCAGTTTGCTGACCCCAGAACTAGATGCCCGAAGTCTACCCTTCAAGAGTCAAAACCATTACTTCACCTCTCCTAAAGGGGCACCTGAGTTCCACTGTCCATCTCCCTGAGTTCCTAAATCATGGCAGAACAGAGAAGGCCACAATCCAGCCCATACTTGGCCCAATTAGCCTTGTGGCCTTGGAGCTCAACACTGAACACGATTCTCAGGCCACCAGGAGCAGCCAACGTGAAATGGCCAGGGAGCACACAGGACTGTTCATCCCACACTGACCAACCCTTCACACAGGTCACTGCCCCCCCAACCCCCGCTCCGTGGATGTGAGCCAGGAGGTGATTAGGTTGTGCCCTCTCTTCTTATGAGCCATAGCCTTGGACGACCATCAGAGGCCACCTCCTTAAAACCCTCTGTCACCCCCTTTATTAGAAAAGTACAGGGGTGCCTGGGTGGCTCAGTCGGTTAAGCGTCTGCCTTTGGCTCAGGTCATGATCCCAGGGTCCTGGGATTGAGTCCCTCATCGGGTCCCCGGCTTCTCCCTCTGCCTGCAATTGCCCCCTGCTTGTGTGTGTACGCGCCCGCTCTCTCTCTCTGACAAATAAATAAAATCTTAAAAAAAAAAAGAGTACAGTCAGTGGACAGCCATAAAACCCAGAACAGCTGGGCAACAGGATTCTTTTAAAGGTATTTTAAAAATAATTTTCCATTCTTAAAGATCCCTGCCACCACTCTACTGTGACTGGTCACCGTTTCCTGTAGGACATGGGATGGGGTGAATATGCCCCTTGTTGAGCCCAGAAGCGCTGTCCCACCTGATCCACACGACACAGGGCGGCTCAAGCCAGGCAATCGCAGCATCCCCCAAAACGCACAACGTGAAGCGTGGCCCGGGCATCAGACGCTGAAGGACCAGGGCACAAACGTGAGCGCGTGGACTAGAGAAGAAACAGCCCGCAGAACAAACCCCAGAGGGGGTTCTAGGGTCCTCGGCCTGGACCCTGGACACCCCTAAACTCAGAACCAAACAGGAGCCACCTTCTCCCACCAGGGTGCGTGCAGGCCTGGGAGGGGCTGTGCCCTGAGGCAGCGCCTTGCTCTCCTGCGGCCACCTGGGCCAGGGGTCCGAGCACTTACTTCGAACACCCGGTTGTAGCCACGGCCGTGATGAGAGGTGCCCCAGTAACTGGCAGGGCTTTCTGTGAGGTCCCAGCAATGGTGATGGTTCCTAAAATGCACAAAATAAAAACGTGATTAACTAAATTGATTGCACGCTTAAACCTTAAGACCAGATTCTATTCCGAACAGCTGCGCGTAGCCCAAGGACACTCGCCTTCATTCAGACATTTCCGATTCCTTGCCAATTTGCAAGAACACTAAAATCCATAGCTATAAGCACTTTCCCCATTAAAGTCCTCCCCTGACTACCCATTTTAAGCTCAGCTCCTAAAAATCAGTAGCAGAGGAAGTGAGAGGCTCCATGAAACAATCAAATTAAGCCAAAGAAGCTTCTGGAAACCTTAAGGTACAGGCAGCTACTGAGAGGTTTATGAGAAGTTCCGCCTCCTCCAAACCCCCACAGCCAGAAAGGAGGAAAGTCCCAGGGACAACACCAAGGCCCAGTGGCCACCGCCCACGCCCCCAGCAAGCAGAGAGCACAGGGAGACAGCATGGCAGGGGCTGTACAGAACCAAAATCCCACGGAGGGCAGGGTCCCAACCACTGACTTTACAGTTGGGCACAGAGACCCCCAATACTTGTTGAATGGACACAGGACAAGACTCCCGACTTTGGGTGTAGCCCCAGGACCTTTGATGATCCAGGCCATGGCCACTACCTTGACTCTCCCACCCTCCCTGCCCCCACCTCTCCAGACACCTCAGCTCCTGCTAGCACAAGATCTCCCAGATCCGCATCCCCACCCCCACCTCTGTGCCTTCATATGCCTGCCATCCAAGACTCCAGTGTCCCCTACGGCCTGTGCCCCTGGGCAGGGCAGCTGGCCCCAGGGGGCAGTGGCTTTGTTAAATGCAGTTCTGCACGCTTTCTCCACATAACACAAGCTTCACCAACACCCCTCAGTGTTGGGCAACAGGCCCACGGTGTGCAATGTAGGCTGGAATTTTCTCTGGTTTTTAAAATTCCTGGGCATGACCCCATTAAACAGATCTCACTGTCTTTTAACAGGTCAGGCCTAGGGTTGAACGACACCAGTGAGCTGTGGGATTGCTGGACCTCGGGCTGCACACATCCGGGCGAGGTAAACTGCTGGCGGCTCTCCCGAAGGCCCTCCCTGGGGGGTCCTCGGCCTCCCCCAGCTGCGCGGCTGAAGCCTTCCCCGCTGCACAGCCCCACCAGCCCCTGCTGTTGGCAAGGCTCGAGTCTGAGAATCCGATGACTCTGGAACCCCTCCAGGGAGCTGTGGCTGGCAGAACCACAGCCCCCAAGATGTCCAGGTCCTAATCCCTGTGATCTGTGGCCACACTCCCTTCTACAGCAAAAGGGACTCTGCTGGGGGTGGGGGGATTAAGTTAAGGGCCCTGGGATGGGAAGAGGATCCCGGATTATCTGGTGGGCCCAGTGTCCTCCCAAGAGTGCAGCAGGAGGGTCAGAGAAAGAGACGTGACAACAGCAGCAGAGGTCCCACGGACATACCCACACCGTGCACATGGGGGAAGGGGCCATTAGGCGGGGAATGTGGCGCCTCCAGGAGTCGGAAAGGTAAAGAATGAAGAACGGATCCCGCCCTGCCCACACCCTGACGGTAGCCCAGTGAGACCCAGGTGGGGCTTCTGGCCTCCAGATCCGAGATCATCGGTATGCACTGTTTTGTCAGTAAGTCCACGATTTGTTGTTACAACAGCACAGGGAGACTAACACAGCAGCTTCAAGGTGGAAGTGTGTTTCCCAGATTTCAGGGGAGCTGAGGGATCTTTCCACCTCCACGGATGGTGCAGGCTCCAGGCTGCGAACTGCCGGCCTCCACCTTTCACTCCTGTGTTGATGGGATCACGTGTCTCCCTCATCACTGGGAACTGTCCCCCTGTGCGGGCCACGCCCACCAGCACGTGGTCTGAAACACAAGACCACTAGGGCCTGTGGTTCTCAGCTGGACAGACCTCCGTCTGCTGCTACCCGTGGTTGCCGGGCCACCAATGCCGTGGGTCCTTCTGCCCTCGCACTCTGGGGGCCAAGAGCACTGACGCCCCTGCTGGGAGCCTGCAAGCTCTGGGGCTGGGATCAGGCCCCAATTCCCAGGCCACGGCGCGGCTCACCTACCTCCATGGCTCCTTCAGGGGATGCAGGCCCTCCACGGCTGGCCGGCAGCCACCCTGGGGGCTCTGGGATGCCAGGGCCCAGCTTCAGACACGGCCACAGGCCCACTGGGCACAAGGCAGCCTGGGGCTGAGGGATGAGAGGGCCGTGAAGTGTGGGCCGGGCACGGTGACTTCCTTCCAAATAGAACAGCATGGAAACTGGGAAGAGTGACTTTGCAGTGGAGACACCTGACTGCCCACCTCAGCCAGGGGACTGAGGCCAACATCTGCAGTGACGTCAGGAGAAGGGCACTTGACTTGGGGGTCCTCCTCCCAAAACCCATCCCCCCGGTCTCAGCATGTGAAAAACCCCAGACAAATCCAAGGAAGGGGCTTCCTACAAGACCCCTTCCCCGTCCTCCGCACCACTGTCAAGGGGCATCAAACACCAGGGAAGTCTGAGAAACTGTCCCAGCCCGGGGGAGCCCAAGGAGACGTGACGACTCCGTGTCACATGGGAGCCTGGGACAGAAAAGGGGCACTGGGGGAAACTGAGGAAATCGGAATAAACTGTGGACTTTGCTTACTGAGAATGTATCAACACTGGTCCGTTAACTGCAACAGGGTCCCAGCCCGACAGAAGAACCCAGTGGGGAATCAGTGGGGGGGGGGGGGGGCGGACACTCTCAATTGCTCTACAAATCCCAAAATGGTTTTTTAAAAAATAAAGTCTCAGTAACATTTAAAAAGAAAACAAAAAGGCCCAGGCGGGCTGGGTTTGATGCCTCCCACTGCCCAGGCTGGCCCAGCCCAGCCGCTGACCTCACTGTGGGTCCCGGGAAATCTGGGGCGCTAAGAATAGAACTCGGGAGGGGAGTCCGGTTGCAGCAAGGTAAGAGCCTCCAGTGGCGACCTGAGACATCAGACATCGATGCCCCTAAAAGGCACAGTCTGACCATTTTCTCTCTTAAAAAGGCATGATCTGGCCGTTAGAAGATGTAGTTATTCCAATGTGCCCACCGTGAGCAGGCAGACGCCGAAGCAGCGTACAAAGTGGCCTCTGCAAAGGGCAGGCAGGTGGGGCCAGGAAGCAGCAGGAGCAGGAAACAGGGAAAGAGCCAGCTATACCTAAAGGCCGAGGCGCTGGGAACTGCCACCAGCTGGTGGCATCTCCGGGGATCCCATGGGCTTGGCCTCCCCACCCTGGCTGAGGTACCCGAGTCCCCTGGTCCTATCAGCTCTCAGCTGCCTAGGGCGGACCCTCAGGGTGGGTTCAGAGGGCTGGCCCATACCAGAACACACTGCCCACTCTTGCCCTGGAGCTAGGCCTGGGGTTTTGAGAGGCAGAGAGCTGAGCAGGCAGCCTTTAGGCCAGACAGGAAAGGAGTCCTCACCTACTCCCTCAGCCACCTGACCCACAAGGGCTAACTGTCCAACTGGGCCTGCTCTTCCATGGCCACGAACCCCAAGGGGCCCTCAAACGGGGTCTGGCATCCCCTGCTGTCCACCCAAGCCTGCAAGGGCTGTACATGCCCCTCACAGGGCAGAGAAGCATCCCAAGTCTCAGAAGGACCACTGACCTGACGACTCTATCATCAGATCAGTATGAACCAACTCATGGGTTTTTGAGAAAAACATACATATACAGATAGATGGACACAAAAATAAACACAGACAGGCATGCAGGCATGGGTTAGGATTCACATTTCTAAGCTCTGTCTACTGAGAGAAGCCACAACGCCCCCTAGCACTGAGCACACCAGCACCCAGATCATGGTTCAAATATCGTTCTCCAAGCTAAGGAACTCCTTGGTCCCCACTCCTCCTTGGAGAGAAGTGGTCTACTCCGGGGTTGGGGGAGGGAATATACCAGGTGAGCCTGAGCATTGCATGGGAGCAGGAAGGAAGGCAACCGTCCCCAGGGGATGCGGTCATGAAGGAAGGACACAGGACCCCAAAGAAGGCATGCCCAATGACCAAAGCAAGGACAATTCGGGCAACAGAATAGTGATTGTACTGGACTATAACCCACAGGATAAAATAAATCGCATAAGTCTTTGCTGATGCAAAATTAAAAACGTACCATAAACGAGGGAGAAGGGACTGCCCTTTTCTACAAAGGAATTCTAATTCGAACATGGAGAAGCAGCGAGGGTGATACAAAGTCACCATGTGAATATCACAGTAACAACTATGGCAGGGAGAAGCCACAGACAGGCGCTGCAACAGACAGGCAAAAGTTTGAGAGGAAACAAGGTATTTGCACAGTCCCCAAAGGGAAAATTAGTAACTTTCCAGTGGAGACTCCTGGCATGGGATCGAGGTTGACATCACCCGCAAAGAGACACACCAACATCCTGCACGGAGAAGGCAGCCTGCCCCAAACTGCATAACCTTCATCTAATCCCAAGAAACACCGGACAAAGCCAAGTGGAGGCACATTCCACAAAATCCCTGACCAGTGCTCTCCAAAAGTGTCGAGGTCACAATAGATCAGTAAAGAAGGAGAAACAGGGGCACCTGGGTGGCTCAGTTGGTTAAGCGACTGCCTTCGGCTCAGGTCACGATCCTGGAGTCCCGGGATCGAGTCCCGTACCGGGCTCCCTGCTCAGCGGGGAGTCTGCTTCTCCCTCTGACCCTCCCCCCTCTCATGTGCTCTCTCTCTTTCTCGCTCTCTCAAATAAATAAATAAATAAAATCTTAAAAAAAAAAGAAGGAGAAACAGTCCCAGCCCAGAGGAGCCAGAGGATATTTGACAGCTAAATGCATTACAGGGTCCCGGGGCAGAAATGGGACATGCATGTGACAAGTAGGGGAACCTGAAGAAAGGCTAAATACTATTCCTCCATGCTCCTTGCTTACTTTGGGTCATTCTTCTCCAGTTATATTAGATGCTAACATTAGGGAGGTA